GTTGACTCTACGGGAATCACCAATCGGTCGTTCTCGAGCGGAGGCTTGACCTTGGGATTCAACTGCCTGAAGTTTGCCTGCTTCGGTATTCGTTGCTTCTGGAGCATGAGGATCGTCTTCAACAGCCCGGCGACCCCCGAGGAGGTCTCAGTGTGTCCGATGTTACCCTTGATGGACCCAACATGGAGACTCTGTCTTCGGAGTGGGTTTCCAAATGCCTTGCGAAGGCTTTCCAGTTCAATCGGATCTCCAACTTGTGTGCCTTTGACATTGTTACTAAACTGCAGGCGAAATAGAAGAGGGCAGAATAGAGGAGACCAAGGGTAGAAAGAAAGCAGGATACATACCAGTGCCATGGGCCTCCACATAGGTGACCTCATCCGGGGCAACCCCAGCGAGTGACAAAGCTTTGTTATACAGTGATTGTTGAGACTCCGCATCGGGGACGGTGATGGGTGACCTGTTCGAGCCCTGGTTGACGGCTGAGCCAGCGATCACGCCGAGGATAGGGTCGCCGTTGTCAATCGCATCCTGCAACGGCCGAAGGACAACGAGGCCAGCGCCCTCTCCCCGGCAATATCCATCCGCAGAGGCATCAAACGACTTACATGCTCCCGTAGATGACAGGAAAGAAGCAGCAGCCAGGTTCTGGTACACTCTGGGGTTTGTTAGAATATTCACACCGCCAGCCACAGCAATCGAGCACTCCTTTGTTTGCAGGGCCTATTATTCATACACCAGTTAGCCATTGCACTTTGAAATAAGTCAACCTGAGTCTCATATCGTACCTTGCATGCCATATGGATAGCCACTGCTGCGGATGAACATGCTGTATCCAGCGTAATCGACGGGCCCGACCAGCCGAAATGATGGCTGATACGGCCAGCTATAAATGACTGCAGGGTTCCTGTAGCTGAGAAGGCATTCGCATGCCGCGACGCCACATTCTCGGTATAGTCCTCAGATCCCACTCCCACATAGCAGCCGATATCGTCCGGTAGCTCAGTGTGCTGCCATCCGCAGTATCCGGCAGACTCCATGGCTTCATATGCTACTTGCAGCAACACACGTTGTTGTGGATCCATGGACTCGGCCTCTCGCGCTGAGATGTTAAAAAAACGATGGTCGAACGCATCTGGCCGGTCGAGGAAGTGACCCCAAAATGGGCCCTTGGGCTCCCGCTGCAAGTCTGGCATCCGGAACCGACTCCCAGGGGCCTTCTCCACTGTACATACCCCCAGCTCCAGCAAATCCCATAGCTCGCTCGTGGTGTCTGCGTTAGAATATCTACAAGCCATGCCGGTAATGGCAATAGGCGGCATCTCAGCTGCCTGTGGACTACCATTGAGGGTGTTCGTGCCATTCTGCAGCGACACTGCGGAGCGAGCCGACGTGTTTCCGTTAGCAAGCACTCCTGTCCCGTAGACATCAAGGTTGCTCCTGGCTACCAGACGTCTTCTAGCTGATCGTGGGACGAACTCTTCCTGGCCGATGGATAGAAGACGGGACTCATCAACTTCCATATCGGCGCTGTTCAGTAATGCGGAGACTGTTCCCCACCAGTCTGCCTTGACAGAGAGGATCGATTCCAAGGCGACGATGTGCAATATAGCTGCATTTATGAGCACCTGCCCATTGTGACTTGATCGAAGGGGTAGTATTAACGCGTTGCTGTGAGGGAGTTGAAAGCGAGGATCCTTCACACATAGATTCATTATGTGCTGGATGCCTTCGCGGTGTGCTTGCTGGTGGTGGAAGCGGCCTTGGAGGGGGATTTGCTTTGTGTGCAGACCACTGCCGCTAAGCTCCTGTTTCAATTTCACCCGTTGTGCAGTATCACCGGGGAGAGTGATAGTGACGCTGTTAACGTCTGTATAGCAGGAGATATAAACCTTGGATGTCTATCAGTTTTTTGCTTTTGTTTCCTTTTCTTTCCATGAGGAGAAACTAACATTGGGATTTTTTGTCAAGGTCTGTTCAAGATAGTCATGGTCCGCTGGAGACTCCCACCGCACTGCAATTGACTTGGCCTTGCCCGACACGATCTCATCGAAGTCCACCAACGCCCCAATACAGACAGCGAGCCGTATGGCGTTCGAAGCCAAAGACTGGAATTCCCGTGTATCCCGGGAGCAGGCCACAGCAATTGCCGCCAGAATACCCACACAGAACCCCTGTGAGTCGATTATCCTTGGGGCTGCGGTCCGTGATAATGGCGAGGATGGGAACGCCGGATGTGTCGCAATATTTTGGAGATTCCAAAACTCGACTAGATGTCTCATCACCGTGACTGGAGTCATGATGAGACTTGAGGGTTCTGCTTCGCTATCTGGAGATCCATTCTCAAAACGCCGCCCCAGTGCAGCTAGTTGCTTCTCCCCCTGCACCTTCCGTAGGGCTGGCCAGGCAGAAGTTATGACGGGCCATAAGGAGGGAAGCTCGTCAAGAATATCAGATAAGAACCCCAGACCGGCTGAATCTTTGTATACGGCATCCCGGATGTGGGCGATGGAGCCTTCCATTTCAGAGCATTGTGGTCCGAAGAGAAGACGAAGGCCTCCTTTTGAATGCTCTGTATTCAATGACATGATATGAAACTCAATGAAGAAACGATAGATGTAAGAATGTAATAAGTTCCTGGTACGCCCTTCACGTACAGTATATAGTATATTTACAGATCTATAAGAAACTTGGTTCGGGAGAGGATATAAGTCTGATTGATATAAGGCAAAAAACGAGAGGCCTAGTCCGCTACAAAACTATCAATCTCCTATTTACGGAGGGGGGCCAGCTAGAGCCTCTGCAGGCGGCCAAGAGTGTAAATTACTGAATTAATACAAGGAAGCACACCATTTTCATGGGCTTCAAATCTCTGAGGTTGAAGGTATTAAAAATCAGAATTTTGTTACATTACAAACTGATAGATTGCCTGAAAGTTAGGTAGTGAGATGCTTCGGCTGTGTTATTCAAACCATTTAGTAATATAACCTAGAAACTTACTTCATCTCCCATATTCTAAGCAGCTAGACAACCCTATTGACCACCAACCCTTCTAGAGTTATATAATGGTGTGCCGGCTTTCAAATTTAGCCTTACTCCATGATTTGGGAAGTCATGTAACAGGGCTCATACATACATACTACTCTCCGGAGTTGCAATCTCAATACAGAAGGTGAGACGAAAATAACCATCATGCAATGCTAGTACAAAGCGGACTATAGAATGGTCCAAATCCCGGTATTTTACGCATTTTGATGCATGCGACCTCGTGGCGCCTCGACCCCTCCCGAGTCTTGTTTTCCCGCTTTGATGATCGTCTCTTATCTCGCTGAACTGAAAGTGGGGGTCTCATGATCTAGTTCTATACCTTTCACATACCTGCAAGTAAGCTATAGTACCGTCAGCGGACATATGTATTAGCCCCCGGCCCCACACCGCATAGATTACATAATATTTTGCCAGCAGAATCACTCCATGCATTATAATTATCTCTATTTATATGGCGTAAAAAAATAAGCAATAGATTAAGAAATTTATAAGAAAATAATAATGTTTTTTTTTCACGAAAAAAACGGCTTGCGTACAGCTTGTGTTCTAGAAAGGTTCTATAATTCGCGTTCAGGAAGGCGGTATTGGCGGTACGTTTTTCCCCGTGGGGGCCGGCCCGTCTCCGACTTGGGCACGATTACGGTTATGCGGCCCGCAAGGGGCGTCCCGCGCAGCAATCATCTCCTGCCGATCGGAGTACTTTAACGAGGCTGACATCCATTCCAAATTTTGGAAGTTGCGTAGAGGTGGGGTGATGTCTCAGTTCTGGAAGGAGCGTTTTGCATTACATTTACAGTTTGTAGCTTACATACTAAGATTGGCCCCCGAAAAGTAGATCATACTTTTCGAGCGGTGCATCTGACGCGGTAGCAACCTTGGAATAAACCTTGTAGAGTTGATGTAATGTCGCAAAAAATTCTTCCTTCGCCACTTCCTTGAATTTCCTCTATTCGGCCTCCCCTGTCGGCACCAGGCGTCCCTCTGGGATTGTCAATAGTGCGGAAATACGAACCAAAAACGCTCTATGGGCGCCATTCTTAATATATACTGCCCTTTACTTGTTCACTGGTAGGATCCCGTATACACCGCATATATTTTGTGTTTGTTATCTAGGATACTTCCGTAAAGGTAAAAGAGCGATTGCAAATCAATTCATTCTGTTAATTCTGGGAGATCCTATCTGCTTTCTAACACTGCCACGAATGCTTCTCGTATAATGCGCGTTGAGGCCGGGGGCGATATGCGCGATAAGTTAGAGTGGATCCGATTGTATATTCTTGGCAATGTAGGCCAGACTTTTGGCGATATGAAGCGTTACATGTACGAAGTATGCCGCTCTAGTGCTTATCTCACCTGTGGGTATTTTGGGATGTGGAGTGGGATGTGGAGTGGTATGTTATTCCTGACCTGCACAAAGCGTACGTAACCCCGTCGGGCTACCTATTGAGGCTTATCAACTTGAACCCATATGCAGGTATAGACTAAGGTGCCTACACCGGGCAGCCAGGCGTCATCCTATTACGATCGCCCGAACAATCGATATCGAATTCGAGTGGAGCAGGTATACAATGCAGTAAGATATGCCAAGGCTTGAATGTCACGCACTTGTTATATTATACGCGGGGTAGTCCGCTTCACTTTTTGTGGAGTGTTATTATGTATAGTCCTGATTCGCGTGAGGTATACGCAGTAGCGCGGGGCTATATGTGGGAGCATTCTAGATTTGGAGGTGGAGATGCACTGAGGCACAAATTAGGCAACCGCCTATAGATTACGAAATATCTAATTTCCATAAACTGTATTGATACGAACTCAATCCAGCTGTGTAAAGAGGCGAGGTGTGTGCAAATGGACTCTGTCCCTTTAGGCTATTAGTTTGTTGTTCTATCAATAGCAATATGCTTCGGTGAATAGATACTAGACGATTGGTCTCAACCTTGAAAGTCTCGTTCATTTTCGTTCTCAATCCTCCAGCACAAGTATACGTACAGGACATAAACTTATATACTATGGACTATCTGATCATAATACGTATCACAGCTGTTGCTGTTGTGCTATATCTCACCCGCTACGTTTGTTGTCTATACTTGCATCTGCAAAATGTACCAGGTCCGTTGTTTGCGAAGTTCACAAATCTGCAACGCGTGTGGTGGGTAAAATCCGGACGAGCCCATGAATACCACCGTCAGATGCATGCTGTGTATGGGTCTGTCGTTCGATTCGGTCCAAATATGGTCTCTATCTCGGATCCTCGCGCCATCCCGGCTATCTACCCTAGTAGGCCCGGATTTCCCAAGGTCAGTGATGGTAGTACCAGAGTTATTGCGTGCAGTCATAATTGGATTTCAATCGCTAACATCGCCACACCCAGAGCGACTTTTATCGCACACAGAAGCCCTACACGCCAAACAAGGGCGCCATGCCGGCGGTGTTCAATTCCCAAGACGAGGACCTTCATAAAAGGCTTCGAAGCCCGATTGCTCCTCTATATTCCATGACAAATGTGGTGAAGCTCGAGTCATTTGTCGATCAAACCCTCGCGGTACTGTTGAAACAGCTCGATGATCGGTTCCTAGACAGCAACGATGTTCCGTTTGATCTGGGGAGCTGGCTCCAGTATTTTGCGTTTGATTCGATGGGGACATTGACGTTCTCTCGACGATATGGATTCCTCGAACAAGGCCGCGATATGAATGGAATCTTGGGCGAGATTTGGAAGTTTATGAAGAGAGTTTCCATGGTGGGTTCTAGCTCTGTGCACGTCGTGCTACCGTTGGTTTCTAATGCGTATGACTTTCTTAGATGGGCCAAATTCCGTGGTTTGACGAGTTCTGTAATACGAACCCGTTTATAGCATTGTTCAGGTCACCGACAGGGTTTGGGGTGTTAAAGGTAGTCGATAAGTTTATATCGCAGCGCTTGGCCCCTCGTGAAAAAGGCGAGGTTTCGGACGAGAAGGATATGCTCTCCCAGTTTCTCAATATACAGGCCTCAAACCCTGATGTTATGCCTTGGTAAAAAAATCTTCCCGCTGATCAATTTCTATCTCTTGCCTTATATCCGGCTAACTCATACCTAGGGCCCCAAGAGCCTGGACTTTCTCTAATATCATGGCTGGCTCAGACTCGACTGCAAATGTCATGCGTACAATTATGTATAATCTCTTGGTTCATCGGGACACGCTGAGCCGTCTGCAAGATGAGCTTATGGAATCCGAGAGCAGAAATGGTCTTTCTCGTACGTGTCCCTCGTGGGAGAAAGTGAGAGAGTTGCCGTACCTCGACGCGTGCGTTCTAGAGGCTTTAAGGCTGCATCCTCCATTTTGTCTACCTTTTGAGCGAGTTGTTCCTGGCGGTGGTTTGACTGTTTGCGAGACATATCTTCCAGCAGGGACCATTGTCGGAATCAGCCCGTATATGGCCAACCGGGATAAAGAAACCTTTGGTAATGATGCGGACGAATGGAGACCCGAGAGATGGCTAGGCCTGAGCTATGAAGACCGAAAGAGGCTGGAGAATAGCTTGTTGACTGTGGGTCTAAACTTCGTCTACGTCAGACATACGCTTACTAATCTTGAGATATAGTTTGGAGCGGGCCGTCGTACTTGTCTGGGGAAGAATATCGCCATCCTTGAGATCAAGAAGTTAATTCCGGTGCTGCTTTTGAACTACGATGTGAGTACTTTGCTTCAATTCAGGCATGTGCTCTTCCTAATGTGTTCCGTGCCAGATACAAATCGTCAACCCGGAGAACTACAAAACCGAGAATGCTTGGTTCTTCAAGCAGATGGGACTACAAGCAGTGATTCGCAAGCGGGCGAAAATGGAGAGAGGTTCCAGTAACAAGGAAAAGCCCACTCTTCCACCTGTCTTGAATATTCCTCCTTCATCATCGACCGTCGATGTGCGAGTGATCGACCCGTAAGGTCCTACCTCGTCGTATCCATGGGAACCAATTGACCTAATAATTGCAGAGGAACACTCCTTGACCTACGACCTGATCTATTCTGGCAACCCGAACTGCCAGGCCTTAAAAAGGTGACAGCGCCAACTTACTGCTTCTTAATCTCGGCCGGCACTCGCCATGTTTTATTTGACTTAGGAGTTCGACAGGACTGGGAAAACCTTCCGCCATCCGTTGTAGCCATGATCAAATCACAGACAACCATCCAGAACCCGCGCAACATCTCGGATATTCTGGACTCTGACGCATCATCCTTAGGCATCCGCAGCACAGACATCGAAGCCATTATCTGGTCGCATGCCCATTTTGACCATATCGGCGACCCGTCCACTTTCCCACTGTCTACCGAGCTCGTCGCCGGTCCTGGCATCCGGGACACCCACTGGCCCGGGTTCCCAACTAACCCGGACGCGATTAATCTCAACTCGGACATCCAAGGTCGCAAGGTGCGGGAAATCTCCTTCGAAAAGACAGGAAAGGAAGCCATCAAGATAGGCTCGTTCGACGCGCTGGACTATTTCGGTGACGGATCTTTCTATATTCTAAACGCCGCAGGCCATTCCATCGGTCATATAGGCGCCTTCGCGCGGGTTACCACCTCGCCGGACTCGTTCGTATTCATGGGTGGAGATTCCTGCCACCATGCTGGTGTTCTTCGACCTTCAAAATATCTTCCTTGTCCGTCTCACTCTTCTCACATTCCGCTTTCGTCTGAATCAGAATCCGTTTTCACCTTGTCGCCTGTGCTTCCTTCTGATTACGACGCGGCGCTGAAGACAGTCGACAATATCAAAGAGCTCGATGCATACGACAATGTATTTGTGATTCTTGCTCATGATAGTACCTTGAAAGGGAATATGGACTTTTATCCTTTGACTATCAATGATTGGAAGGCAAAAGGGTACGGCAAGCAGACAAAGTGGCTGTTTTACAAAGATCTTGAAGACGCTATGGAAGGGACCAAGTAGAGATGTATTTGAATTTTGAATTTCATAAACCTTACTCTTTAAAAAAAATATGCTTCATGAGCTCTCTGTACCCCTTAAATCTTGTATAATCACTAGATTTCTATTCTAGGCTTTTCAAAATGCTTGAGAACAATTTGCTTATGGCAGATTATCAAAAAGAGTGTATTGACTAACTTTTGGACTGATGTACTAGATGAAAGGAACTCTAGACAACAGTCGACGAAAACAGAGACGCCGCATTCAAGAAGAGTACAACTTCTTCTCGTGGGTGTGCAAGCCGTGGACATTACCCTCGGTCTGCGCGCTAGCGCTTCTCATCTCAAAGCGAACTGTTCCATTGTTCACCCCTTCACGCAAGGCATCAAGGTTCTGGACACCAATATCCTGGAGAGAATGCTGCACACCAGCAACAAGGTAAGGGACATACTGGGTGATAGAGCCACGATCAATAACGGAGCCCGCAACACCCTGCGCAACCTTGACCTTATCATTCTCAGAGAAGTACCGAGAAGCACCGGCGTTGTTCCCAGCGCCGCTCTTGCTTTTGTCCTCCATAACCGCAATACTGCCCATACCACGGAAAGCCTTGACCAACTGGCCTTCACTGCTCATAAAGTACTCACCAGGAGACTCGGTAGTGCCAGCAAGCAGACTTCCCATCATAACTGCCGAGGCACCCAGCGCAAGTCCCTTGACGATGTGGCCCAGGTTCTGGACACCACCGTCAGCAATAGTGGGAACACCGAAACGCGCGGCGAAGGTAGATACACTGCGTACGGCTGCAGCCTGGGGACGACCAGCGGCCATGACTTCCTGCGTGATACACGCAGAGCCACTGCCCATGCCGATACGAAGACCGTCTGCACCAGCAGCGATCAATGCCGCGGCTTGCTCACGGGTAACAATATTACCGCCGATAACGTCAATGTCGGGGAAGGTCTGCTTGATATATTTGATCATAGCAATTTGGAAAACGCTGTGGCCCTGGCTGCTATCCACGACGACAATGTCCAGACCGGCATCGACGAGCTTCTGGAGACGGACCTTATCCGCGTCGTGAGTGCTGATGGCCGCGGCGCAGAGCAGCTGCTTGGATGGAAGCTTTGATGCAAGAGGGTAATGAATGTTCTTCATCAAGTCACTCCGGGAGAGCAGGGAGATCAGGGATCCATCCTTGTCCACAATTGGCAGTTTACCCTTCTTCGAACTCCGGAGGACCTCGTTGGCTTCGGCGAGAGTAGTGCCTGCCGGTGCGGTGACGAGGTCTGTCGCCATGACAGCCGTGACTGGATCCTCGTGGTTCTTGTGAAACTGGATATCTCGGCTGGTGACGATTCCGAGAAGCTTCGAGTGGAGGGTTCCCTTTTCTATGAACGAAACAAGGTAAGGATCACCAAACGAAACAAAAAGAAAAAGAGCCACCAAGGAGAAATCCAACTAACCAGTCACTGGGAACCCGCCGAATCCCCATTTAGTCTTCAGTTCCTTTGCTTCTCCAACTGTCGTCTCCGGAGACAGAACGATAGGGTCCTGGATGAAGCCATTCTCATAGCGTTTCACCTTCCTCACCATCTCAGCCTGCTCGTCTGGTGGGCAGTTATTGTGGATAACACCCAGACCCCCCAGGAGAGCCATATGGATGGCCATGCTGTGTTCGGTCACAGTGTCCATGGGAGAAGACAGTAGAGGGGCCTTGATGGTGAACCGCCGGGTTACTCTGGTTTCCAACGAAACATCCGATGCCGGGAAGGCTGTTCGTACGATTAGAGAGAACGACCTATGAGATAATGTTCATTGCCTTACTGATAGAACCGGGCAAAATCAGGAAGTCATTGTAAGTCAAGGCTCCATGACTATCCGAATCGAGGAGAGTATCGACGTGGAGGCCATCTCCAGGATACTCCTTGAGCACTTCTGAAGCCTTGGTATAATCCAGAATTTCGACCATAATGCTGATTTTAAAAAAAAAATAGGAAAAAAAAAACTAATAGGTAATGGGAATGGGGGGGTGATTCCCAAAGGAAGTCAGAGGGGCAGGGGAGGGACGGCCTTTTAAGATTGTTGGATGCGGTGGTCACCTGACCATCAGTCCGGTGCGGCAGGCACCAACCCTCCAGGGAAAACAACTCTCTCCCTCTTTCATCGCAGGTATTTTTAGCGAAAGGCCTTTCGTTTTCTTTCTTTTGATGATCTACACCCCACAATGACCGGTTTAATCCATGGATTGTCTCAGAAGGATTTTTTATCTACGGAGTTCGGACTTCTCCGTAAAGAACGCGTTTTTGTTACAGGCTTAAACTTGGGTATACCGTAGGGAGTAGGGCTGCGGCCGCCGGCCCCACAGAACCGAAAATTTAAATGCGCTAACCTTCCAAGGCGGAGCCTAGATTTGCCGATTCGGGATTCGGGTTTTTATTTCCTATATTGTCTCGGCGGAGTCTGATTCTGATTTCCTCGATATGTAGCCAACCTAACCTATAGAAATTGGTGACGTTTAGGCGAGCTCTGCTTCAATCAAACTCTCCGCCACGCCCGGATACGAATATATCTTGATCACCTTCAATCCCGCCTGGGTGAAGATATATCTCCATTCAGCTTCTGTTCTTTCCTTCACTGCCAAGTGGGCCAACATAATCATATCCATATTAGTTGCCGCTAGAATTGGCTTCTCCTCGCTGACGACAATCTCATTCAAAAGAACTCGGGAGTATCCCTTCGCCAGCGCAGGCACCAGGTTTGCCATAATCTTGATTGCATCCTCGTCTCCGAAGCCATGGGGAACAGAGTGCATGTAGTACGCCCGAGCGTATTTGACCGGCTGCGGTGTGAAGATGTTATGAGCCGTCGCTTCAAATTGGCGGGATTCATCGGCCGGCATGCTAGCAATGGTTTGTTCTCGATCCTGAAGCACGAGCCTTCCTGGAAGAGGACTGAATTTAGAGGCAAATGTCTCGAGGTCGTGCCCTCGACCACCGCCCACATCAACCAGCACAACATCGCTGACAGAGGCATCGAACCCGGAAAGGAGACGCTCTGAGACAGGGTAGAAACCGGTGTCGCACCAGTTTGGTTTTCCAGCACGGTAGGCACTCATGTAAGAGTGGAAATACTGCAGATAGGGGGGTGTGTTGACAAGCCAATGCGGAAAGGTGAACGCGGTCTTATGAGCGGCTTGGAATGGACCATCGGTTCCACTCAGCGTCGGGGTCTTGTACCCATTGCTCTTGAAGAATTCCGGGAATTCATTGAACGAGGGCCTGGACACATCATGACAAAAGCGGATGGAGTGTTGATAGTTCTCGGCGGCAAGGCTATCGCTCAGGTCTGTGCCATGGAATGCTCCATTTTGAAACGTAATCACATTCATAGCCACGAGATGTCTGGCCAAGCGCGATAGAAGGCTGGCATCAACGCCCGTCTTCATAGACAGAGCTTCACAATCTATCCCCTTACCCGCGGCATCTTTCAAGTGTTGAAACATATTGACATCAGCAGCAAGCCTGATAATAGCAGACAGTGCTGGCTATATGAACATCAGCAATAGTTTCTAGTCTTACCCCGCCAAATCAAGCTTACCTGAGACCAGAAAGTGTGCTGAATAAACTCGCTCGGAACTTCAAGGGCGGATATCAGAGCTCTACTATGAGCAATGAGGGATTCCCTTGCACCAGCTTCATTGTTCTCAAATTCTTTGGCTGCCAAGGTAATCCCTTGGAGGATGGAGATCACAGACTTGGTGGGCATGGTGCTTTTGATGAACGATTTCAACGCAGAGAATATGGGAGAAAGGTGTACACAATATCATGTTAAAATTGGAAGATGACCTATTATATTTGTAGCCGTGTCTGGCGACACCAAAGCCTCTCACATGCTGTCCTAAACGGAAATCGGGTCTCTCGATGTATAGTCGACGCTAGGTGGAACCTGGGGGCTGTCCATGGATGTTTTTGGTCTGCCTCGTTGCTTCTGCCATGATGTCTAGTACTTTTCAAGTTTCTCCAATTTTGATAATACGACTGGGGTTTAAATTAAAAGGATTTTGTCTCTGCCTTTTTAGCGTGTATGTATGAAATTTCCATCCAAGTCATGTATGCTGTATGTACATGTAAATATTGGGGCGGTAATACGGTGTTAGGCGGGTGACTGGTGCTGGGTCACCCGCCCCAATCCTATTCTAGTAAATTTCCGTCGAATTTGGGTCGGACGGAAGGTTCAAATCCGATCCGAGGTATCTTTGGGTAAAAATACATGTAAAGGATATAAAACTATTATTAAACTATTATTCTATTATTCTATTATTCTGTTATTTAATATTACATGTAGCAAAAATGGTTTAGAACAAAAACGTGCATGCATATGTCGGGTAACCTCCCCCATTTCGGTACCCTTGCTACGGGCCAATGAAAATGTACGTTTTGTTTGGGATCGACAACATACATATAAAGTTACATACGGTAAACGGATGGTATATGAAAGAGCTGATGTGAGACCGCTGGTTAGAATGAGGGATATAATTCCAGCAGTGTGGGAAGCGGGGTTATTGTAAGGATGTCGATCTCGCCCTGTTGTCTGCTGGGTTTCTCCAGGACCACCCGGACCTTTGCATAAATCCCGCGACATATCAATCCTGTGCACTAGACCTCACTTGATTGCTAATGTTAGGCGATCTGTGGAAATGTAGACGGATAATCAAGGGTTGTTGGGTTTTACAAGGATATCTCGATAACATAAAATTGAAAAAGTCGACATTTGACCCATCTATCTACAACTTTTCCTTTCTCCCACCCTTGCCACGTCCACTAGGCATTGGTTTCAAGACTTTATACCAGTTCTCCTCTAGCACTAGATGACTCTTGCCTTTCCTCTCTTCTTCCCACTCACTCTCCATCTGCCGGAATCGATCCATCTCCTGCTGTAACCAGGCCACACATGGCCCTGCAACAGTCCCAATCTCCTGAAATGGCATCAAATGCCCCAATCCAGGTAAGGTAACCTCTTTCACTCTTCCCTCAGACACACCTCCACTCCCGCCGATTCCTGACCCGCATATCTTGACACCTTCATGAATCTCATCGACATTCAAAAACGTCGCCCCGCCCACAATCCACAGGCATGAAGGTCGGAGTGTCTCTAAGCGGCGGAACGTACTTCGAGGTTCTGGCCGGTATAAAGGAATAGACGCTACCAATGGATCCATATCGGCATGGGTGGCTCGTGGGATTTCGATCCGGCCCGTGGTCGGGTCCCGGGCGTTGAAGTTCTGCCGTATTTGCGCTATAAGCTCGTGGTACTTGGGCGTCGCTAGGGTGACCGGGGTGGCAGTAGTATCAGTGGCCGCATCAAAGCGCGCCTTAACGGCCTCGACATCCGGATACAGCGGTGTCGGTAGATCGCGAAAGAAGTATTTCGCCATACGATCTACGCACCGGGGATCCCAGCCGTGGATGAGACCACGGTTGGCACGTATGGCTGCCTCGCGACTGGGCCAGACGTCATTTCGCCAGAGAGTGTAGTTGATCGGGCCTGGAGGGTCGGTGCCGAAGCCCATCGAGGGAGGGCTTAGCTGAATGAGTGGATCGATAAGGAGGAGGGTTGTAAACAGGCGTGGATGTAGATAGGCAAGATTTGTGCTGGAAAAAAAAAATGATCAGTATCCCATTCATTGACTTCTCAAAATTGAGAGGGTTATTCGTCACAAACATGATATTCCCGCCAAAACTGTGGCCAACTCCGACGAGAGGACGTGGCATCTGCTCACGAAAATGGTTGATCATCAAGAAGAGGTCTCGCGGGTGATCCATCCAAGAACCTAGGATAATTGTTAATATCGGGGAGATGTATCAAGAATCAAATGGGAAGCACATACAATCCATACTGAGCTTGTCCTCATTCTGGATCCCGCTCTGGTTCATACTGGCGACGTCGGCCACCCAGATGCCATGAATGTGGAAGCCATTAGCTCGTTCCAGCAGCTCGTCCCACAGCGGTTCGTACAGTTCCTGTGTCCAATTTTTGAGCACATGAGACGAATTATCAGGTTAAAGATAGGGTCACCTTCGGGAGACCGACTCCATGAGCGGCAATGAAAGTAATTGCATCCGCCGGGACGGGACCTTCGTGTTTGGGGGTATATTGTTTGACATGAATTTTCAGTACATCTTCCTGCGTGACGGTGCTCCCTGGGTATTCTCTAATATAACTGCCCGGGACAAGATGCTCAGTAACGGTGAACTTCTCGCTTGACATTGCGAATATTGGAACTCGGATACAGAATGAAGAGGGAAAATAAAACAGGGAATTGCATGCGGAAAAGGTAGGAATTTACTAATTTACTAATATCCCTGCTAGTCTTCCTAAGCTACCTAGACACGTATCTTCCCCTCTTTTCCCTGCAGGGCTCCTAACCCCTTCTCTTCTTTTCTTTTTCGGTTGCATATACTATGATCAGTAAGTCTAACTGGGTGCAGGTATCTACCTTTTGATGTTTTATTTATCTCCTTGCACCTTTGCCGTGTCTGGAAGCCACATATGTACCAGATAATGCCTGGCACTCGAGACCTTTCCCCTTCTATTTAAGCGCTCACCTCTTGCCGCTTTTTGATTTCAGAGTAAAATTGAGTACGCCCCTGATTAGGATTTTGTATGCTTCTCTACTCCTGAATGGTGTACAGATCCAATATCGAAAGTGGGCTCGAGATGTGTCTCGCCTTTTCTTGAATCGATCACCGGTATTCTCACATGAAGGGTGGTGAGGATGGTAATTGAAGGTGACTTCATAAAGCTAAGATTGGCTCAGACCTAACCAAATACTAATACAGAAGTGTAAAGCGTGTATTCATGTGGAAACTTGGCCCCATAGCGCGATATCCAGCAGACTGGCGAGATCAGTCGTACCGTCCTCTCTAATAACAGCGCATTCAGAGCCTCTCAACTCTTCCCAGTCCCGAAAACGTCATTCAATGGTCTCTCCCATCGCAGATGCATTGAAGATCTCGCACACTCTCCAATGCGAATCGAGAATTGCGGGGCTTGGAATCTCATACTCTGTGTTTGGTAAAAATAGGACGCGCCGACCGGAGGGAATGGCCGGGATATCAGCCCGGGGATAGCACTTGTAAGTCTTTCCCTCATACTCATTTCCGATGTCCTAATAAGAAGAGTGAGTATAAATGGTTTCATGGTAGATCATTGCCTGCTTACGGTAGGCTTTAGGGCAATTGTAAATTTGACAAACTGGGTATGCACCGAGTCTCGAAGAATGATCCCGTTGCGAAGAGTATTAATCTCCTTCGCTGAAAGTATTTTTTTGTAGCGCAGGGAAATACTTATACAGTTAGGTCCAGGGGCTTGATGTATCTCTTGGAGCTCCGGATACGCCTGGCCAAGAGGTAAACGCAGAAGGTATTATATGAGCCCCCTTAGGCAAGTAAGAGGCAAGTGCGAGGTATCATAGACTGGGTAGCTCGATATAATAAAATAACACGACATGCCCTTCTTGGCCTCTTTAGAGCGGGAGCCGTAGCGTGGCTTACGGCGATTTGGAACGTTAGCCTGCTTCGTCACCTGAAATTGACATCTCCCCTCTATTTGAGGGATGAGTATATGGATCTTACGCGCGACGTAATAGAAGTCGCGTTCATCATGGCCACGCCGGCCAAGACGGCATTCGACCACAGAATGGCCAAGCCGGCGACAGAAATCGCAGAATGGGGGCTGCTCTATCTATCAGTAAACGTCCCAACAAATTATTAATCAGGATGATGGTTATAATAGAAGTCTGACAGAGAGGTATTGGAGATATCAACACTTACAGCTGAATCCCCAGATGGCATTTTGCCGAGGAAGAGAACAACGAGAGGAATAGTTGTTATTATGAAAAAAAAGGAGAGGCAGAGTGAAAATGGGGAGTTTACAAAGGTAAGTTACTTCTGCTGGGTCCCACCAATATATAGGGCATGTGACCACTGGTTCCCCTTCGTGCTCCCATTGATCGGTGTTCAGTTGGCCCGTTGTCACACAGCGATAGTTTTCCCGAAATTGGAGCTGTGCCGCGAACGAGGGGTCACGCGTTTCCGGTTGATCGAGAGTGGAAGGCAACTGTATCGACGTGCTCCCGGGCGCCTTTCTCCAAGCTGGTCAGTGAGTCTGTAGAGAGTGTTGACAGTCCGCGGGGTGCTGTGGACGGGGACGCTCTTGCTAATTGACGTATAGCTCATTGGGGACGCGTCGTGTTGGAGGGTGAAGCTGATCGATTTCTCTTTGCCATTTTGGAAAGGCGCATGGCATAGAATTGATAGACGCCAAGTGGGGAGCGGGTCGTGCGTCGATCTCTCGGCCCCACTTTTGTTGCTTACGTGAGAGAATTCCATTTTCTGCCGGATTGGGACGCGATCAGTTGACCGCCCTCCCTGAGTAATCAGTGAGCATCCAATGAACACCTGGGCATTTACATAGTATATGTATTAGTATGGGTCAGTATTCTTCATATAATCCTCACCTAGAGACTGAGGAAGACCAATCCCTCGGAAACACACCATACTGTATGGGGGGACTTCCTTCCAATTAGGCCTGACAAGTGCTGCAGCACTAGGCCATTGGTTCGGTGCTGCAGCACTTGGTGCCGCAGTACCGTAAAACAGCACCAAAATTGCCGTAGTCCCGCAGCACCTGTCAAGGCCTACTTCCAATTGAGACCGAGGCTAGTATGCCGTGGTTTTATATCCATAAAGTGATATTGACTTGGTAGTCGAAGGTTTCTGATTGATGCTAATCATAATGCTATGGATAGAATGCCACACCGGCGCCATGCAAGAAAGATAATAATGAGATCGAAGAGATATAAAAAAAAAACTCTGGAAAGAATATGTGACCTGGGTAGCCAGGAATGACTCCTAATATGGAAGTCAAGATAAGAAATGCACCATTAAACGGAAAGCAGGGGCCCATCGTATGTATATGACACGACATTGAGAAGATGGGTAAGGAGAGGAAAGGGGACACGGAGAGAGACAGAGAAAGCGGGAGAGCAAGGAGCAATGCACCAGGCAAAGAAAGCACAACGCGATCGCATGGATGCTAATAATAGGAAATCGTCAAGTGAATTGAGCCGTCTGTTCATTGGAAAGCTCACAATTCGCGCCCAGTGAGGACGATGCAGGAGATGCACTGAAGTAAAAGAAGAACAGGTGCTAGTATTAAAAATCGTAAAGGCGAGGGAAATATTAAAGCCCCTTAAAGAATGGACTCGCCTCAATGATATCTTGATCATCGCAGGCAAAGTCCCATCCCACAATGCGAGGGTCCACGCTGGCACAAATGAGCTTCCGTGCGTCAAACTGGAGTTTGAACACTCTCGCAGCTGTCGAGGACCCTTGAGGTCTGCGTTGATGGCCATGGTGGTGATGATGGTGAGCAGGAAGTGGGGCGAGTGGCAAGGCATTGATAACCAGAGGAGGCAGAAATTGTGGGTTGGCACGACCAGCGTGGGGGTTGATATTGGGATTTTGCCCAAGTGTCGCCAGAGCCTGTGCCGCTTGCAATTGCTGAGCCTGGGCCTGGGCCGCAACAGTGTTTCTTGCCACTTGGCTGAGGTTCGCACGAGCGGAATTGGCGATGGCATCACTGTGTCGCAGTTGATGATCCGTTGTCCACTTGTTATTACGGTCTTTGTGCCAGATTAAGATTGACTCGTCATAGGAACCGGACACGATACGGGCCCAGCTACTACCTCCCCCACCGGGTGGAATTTTTGCCCCCAGAGCAGGGATATCACGAGGGTCCCGCGATCCCGCCGTGTTCGGTTGGTAGCCATTGCGGCGTTGCTCCCGATGACCCATGTCGACGTCCAATCCGGCCTCTTGAGCGGCGAAAAACGCAGTTTCACACGCTATCGCTTCTTCGCGCAAGGTTTCATCGGCTCCCGGAGCATCACCGAACCCTGCTTGAAGGGTGCGGACGAGATTACTGTGGGCTCGCAGACACGCCACCTCGGCTCCGGTGGCATGATCGTAGATGCGAACAGAGTTATCATTGCTGCCACTGATGATCCTTCGGCTGTCGAATTCAACACATGCGATGCCTTTCTCGTGGCCCAGCAAGGACTTTGAGCAAGCACCAGTCCGGATGTTCCAGACCTTGATAACACGATCTCCAGACGCCGTCACAATATCATCACCATGGATCTGCATTGCATTCACGGCGGCTCCATGTCCTTCCACGGTCATAAGCAACGTGTAAGGCTCTAGGACTTTGTATTGATCATGCGCAATGCCAGCTTCGAGAACGCTCGGTGGAATCGTGTTCAAATCTATTATCCATGTAGGATATGTGGCGCCTGATCCATGGCAGATATGCGGATAATCCTTGCTATTCGGTAGAAGAGCTCGGCGGTTCCATACCTTCACAGTTCGGTCCTTAGAACATGTTACAAGGTAACGATGGTCGAATTTGAGATTGAGCACCGAATCAAGATGCGCGTCTTCGATTTGATGAATCTTTTCTCCGGTGGAGAATTTCCATATAATGACAGACTTGTCGCTGCTGCCAGAGATGATGATGTCTTCCTCGGGTCGAGGATCAAATTGCAGACAAAGTACGGACTTTATATGTCCCACCAGCGGGGGATGCCACAGTCGTTTGGTATCCAGGTTCCAGACTCGCAAAGTCTTGTCTCGGCTGCCACTGACTAGCCATCGGCCTTCAAACTGGATCGCATATACGCATTCCCGGTGGGCCTCCTCTGGGTGAGAAGGGTCAGGAAGTTGGAAATTAGTGTATCGGCCTTGATGCCAATTTGCTTCGAGCCGCCTGCGTTGCTTGTAGATATGAAAATAGTTGACCTTAGCACTTCCGTCGGTATCCCGAATGAGAAGATGCGATCGTAGAGGTGGGTACAGTGGCGAAGGAGATTGGGAGGTATTGGTTGGCATAATCAACTCCGGGTCGTCGGCGAACGAAGGTGTAGTCTGATCGTCATCATCAGTCATGTGGTGATCACCTTCACTGTCGGCCACCGGGAGTGTAGGGCCAAACACGGTCGGTCTTTGGTTTTCATCGCTTCGGGAATTGAGCCAGGTCGACGGCACGCGCTTTTTATGCTTAGGTTCCCCGAGATCTGGTTCCGAGTGTCGTAGGCGAGACTTCCGAGTCTGGGGCGACATGGCCTCGGAATGTTCTTGTTCAAACGCACGAATTGCGCCCGTGTCCATGCCCCAACCTTCGTGGATGTATTTGAATTTCCACAGACCTGAGTCAAGGATACGTTCACGCCATGAGCGGGATGCAAGCGAAGCATTCAGAAGCGTCCGGGCGTCGAGGTAGGTAAAAACCTGCCATGTGACTTCCGGGGGAAGCCTGACACATGGGTCAATATGGAAGATTGGGTTGAGTCGATCAACTACTGCCGCGATGCTCGAAGTTGGTAAAGACCGAAGAAGGCTGTATGCGAGTTCTGGGAGTGGTGAACCCTCAGTTAGCAAGGACAATCGCAAAGTGACAAGCAAGAGGCTGATGCTTGGCAATTACCACAGGGGGCAAGGGGAATAGGGTAATCTTACCAGCTCTACCGGTCTCGGACTGGGCGAGCAACCAACTTGGAAGCGCCATCACATTGTCCGATCCCAGGTCTTTGTCGGCCTGGCTTCGAGTATCATCCGAGTAGCCTTCATCTAGCTTAAACGAGGGTGACAAAGAAAGCGCGGGGAACTCGGAAACGGTAGTCGTCTGCAATTGCAGTGTAGGGGAGATTCGAGCATCAGCGGCATCGGGAGCATCGGGCAAGGGCTCGCCCTCCATTGATGCGGGTTTCAGAGGGGTCTGCGCCGGGTTGATGAATGGAACGCCGAGATCAATGGCGTCGCGCGATGGCTGCGAAATCCTGCAAGGAACTTTCCGTGAAGAGATTATAGAAAATTAATAAATGAGGTAAGGTCCTTTGCAAGATGAAGGTTGTGGGGAAAGGAAGGAGAAGGAGGTTGAGCAGATGGGTTGGCCTCGGTGCATGTCACGTCAGGTTTGGACGAGGCAAGGCCCACCAGCCCTGGAGATTGATTGATAGAGCGCAATTATCACGAACTTCAGTCGCAAACTGAATAGAAATAAGAGATTCGATTTAAATTCGACGCAGAAGAAAAGTAGAATTTCAGTAGAGTTTATATTTAAATACAGAGTCATCCTCAAGAGCCTATAGTTGTTGCCCCCGCGAGTCACGTGGTTCGAGTATAGAACTCCCCGCTAGCTACTTCGGGTATATCCGCCGCTGGCCGCAATTGTCCACCAGGTTGTGTAGGTCACTATAACCCGACCGCACCATTGAAGTACCTTTTAATGCCTATTAAAAGACATATAAAAAAACTGCTAGTATTCTTGTTAATCTAGATTGCTTTATAGTGTAGATCAGGTGATCTCTAAATAGGTATAGAAAGGTACTTCAATGGTGTCATGGCGCGAGTGTTAAGAATCCTGTAGGGATATATATGATTGATAATTGTGGCCAGCAGTGAAGATACCTGAAGTAGCTAGCGGGGGTGTGTCCGTAGGATTTCTCATAGAACTATAGCAAGACCTACATAACTACATGTATTTAACTCCTTCATGAGAAAAGCAAGCGCTGAAAATACAATGAAGATGTCAGTATATCAGTATGTCAAATAAGAGCGAGGAGGTCTATAATGAGCCGATTCCTCAATGTCTTATGTAGTATTGTAACTATTGCTGTAGAAATATGCTAGGGAACAACTCATGGTATCCAATATGTACTATAGCCTGTTCCATTCCAAGGTTGGATTCAAATTCCCCATGCCATAACTATGATTGGAGAGAAACCCCATGTCTA